TAACAGCCAACTGCTGAAATTTGGATCTTAAGATTCAATATATGACGTAATAAGATTACTGTTACTCCATATAACAGATGACATATTTAATAACATAAACAAAACAGCCATCCAGAACAAGGAATATATATATATACAATAACTGTACAGACAGAAAAAAAAAAAAGGCAAAAAAAAAAAAAGAGCCAGCATTTCCTAGATGGATAGGTTTAAAAAAGAAAAAAAAAAAAGAAAATCTAGGTCCACAGAACAAGCAGGATTGATCTACAGGATCTCCCAAGTGACTTAAGCCAAAGTGTCTACAAACTACAGCTCTGGGACTTGTCCTTTGCAGGTGCTGAACTGAGGCTTTTTCTTGCAAAAATGCTAAGCAGTTGCGACTACTACAAAGGTAGCAACTTGTGATCACATAAGGAAAGATGGCCAAACACCAGCACAAAGCCATCTCTGGCAGAAAGGAGGATTCTGGCGTTTGCCTAGGATAATGGAAAATAAATACTTTTAAAATACTTTTCAGACCAGACTTGAGAAAAAACACCACATTTATCCTCATTATTTGGAGAGGGCTACACAAGTGTCCAGCACCACAAAAAAAAAAAAAACAAAAACCCAAACCAAACAAACAAACAAAAAAATCAGATCTACATGTCCTGTATTGCACATGAAGACCTAGATGTTCAACTGGTTTAGCCTTAATCATCTCATGCCTCAATTCCCCTTCTATAAACAGATAATAAAAAAGCTGTATAATCTTACAGCAGCTCTGTAAAATAAATTCATTATAGTTTTAAGTATGCAGATACAATAAGAGTGCCACAGAGCAGCTTTGAGGAAACAGGCAATTTTGTGCACACTGCAGATTACGGATGCAGGTAATCTGAACCAGAGGTGGTATGGGCAAAAAGAAATATTGAGCAGCTGATCTTTGTCAGAACACTATCCCACCTGCACACACAGAAATACAGGAGTGCCAAGAAAAAAAAAGAAAGCACACAACAAATAAAACCCCAATAACTATGCAAGTAAAGATGAAGTTGCTCTGTCAACATTTTGCTCTGCATTGTTATTTGCCAATTTTGACATAACATATGCAGAAAATGCTCAATTCTCAGAGTAATCTAGTTTTCACTGAGCACTGCAGAAAATGTTTTTAATAGTTAGAAAAAAATGGACATTCTTATCATACAGCATTTCCAGGTTTCCCAATGAAGACTTTTTTTCTTATGGAAAAACATGATTTTTTAAAAAGTTAAAAAAATATATTTCAAACATAAGGAGTCTAAAATTGAAGATGTGAGGACATAACATAAAGAAATTTACTTATTAAAAGAAGTGCTAGATATTTTGTACTCTGGACTTGAAGACCTTTGCCAAATACTTCCTGCCTTTAGATAAAAAAGGCAGCTAAGGCCAGTATGAGATCTACTATGTTGTGTTAAGTTTGAGTTTCTTGTGTTAGGTGCAAATGTTGCTAACATCATTAGACAAATCTTTTTTTGCATAAATGGCTTATCATAATACATTCTTAATGAATTTGTGCTCACTTCTTCCAAGAGTTGGTTAATGCAGCCAAAACTGCACTCTTCCAGCGACCCTCAACAAGGCTAACAGATCTCATATCACTTTAACAAGTTTTCTGTCAGTTTTTTCTCTGCTGACACCTTCATTTTAATTGTAAAACCAACACTAATACTTTAAGATGCTGATATAATTTACAAGAACCTCAACTACAGCAAAACAAAATATTTGCATTTCATTACCTCATTTTAACATACCTCAATAAACTGTTTTTCTTAAATTTCCAGTGAAATGTTGGATTTCCTATAATTCATAAGTTAACGAGCCAACATTTTACAAGTTTAGTAGTGCCTACAGAATTTATACAGATTTAAAAAACAAAATCCACATCTTGCTTCTAACATCAATCTTTGATAATTCATTAAAATCAGTATTTCTTTCCCTGATCTGTATCAACAATATCATAATATAAGTATTTGGCAACTATCAAACGCAGAGATCCTTCAGTATATAAGGAAGGGAGTGACAGACGCATTTGTCTCCCAGATGTAAAAACAAATGTTTTGGACAAATTTCTTACCCAACTCCCAATTCAAAGCAAACCTGAGCGATAACTTCTGTAAATCCCTCAAACTATTTTCCCGTGGGATTTTTTTTTTTTTCCTGAGATAGCTTCAAAGCAAAGTAAGACTACTTCCACTGATAAAAAGAAAAATCAAAATAAAGACAAACCACATTGTTAAGTGCCAATGAAGATGGGAGTTAAGAGGGAAAGCATACCACCTATGAATAAAAATTAAAGCAATCAAAAGGAATACAGAAACCTGTGGCAAATACACGACGAGTTAACGGACTGGTCTGGCCCAGGGGGACACTCAGGATGTGTCTTAGGATGCAAGCCTCAAAAATTAATAAGTATTTTCAAGATAAATAAAAAATTTACTCACAGGCAGACCAGCACCGCTCAAAATAAGTTCACATGCCGTTAAAATTTTAAATGGCAAAGTCAGGCAAATCCTTCCATCCACATCACTGTTACCTGTGCTGAGCTGTATCAATGCTTCACTTCCTCCAGATCCCTGACATTCCTCCCCTTCACACCCGCTGGTACCCTCTTCTGAAAAACAGATCCTAGTACTGCAGTTGCCGTGTAGGCAGCTGAGCACATGGAGAAGCTGAAACCACAAACTGCGGCTTTCTCTCAGCTACCTGAAGAGTCAACATGTGGCATGAGAGCAGCAGGGCAACCCCAAGGAAACTGCTGGCTCACAGAGCACCGCCTGGTTTATGGCATGACAACTCTGAGGTGAAAGCTCTCAAGAAGTACTGGAGCGCCTCATAAAAATACTTTAGTTAACAGAAACATCTGATCTAAATCTACATTTAATCTAAATTAGTAAGAGTGACACCAGCAGGTCGATGGGGAAGATCCTGCCTGACGTTTGGCCCTGGTAAGGCACACCTGGAGTACTGAGTCCAATTCTTGCCTCCCCAGTGCAAGAGAGATACAGGCATATGGGAGCAAGTCCAGCAATGGGCCACAAAGATGATTAAAAGCATCTGACAAACAAGAAGAGGCTAAGAGATCTGGGACTGCTCAGCCTGCAAAGGAGAAGGCTTGAGGGGGCACATCCATCTGTATAAATACCTGATTGGGAAGAGTAAAGAAGAAAGACAGGCTCCCCTCAGTGATGCCCAGTGACAGAACAAGGAGCAATGGTCACAAATTTAAATACAGGAAATTTCATCTGAACAAAAAATTTTCTTACAATGAGGGTGGTTGAATACTGACTCAGGTTGCCCACAGAGGTTGTGGAGTCTCTACCCTTGGATATATTTTAAACCCAACTGGACACAGTCCTGAGGAACCTACTGTGTTTTCACCATGCTATGAGAAGGGGGTTGGACCTGATGACCTCCAGAGGTACACTTCCAGCCTCAACCATTCTACAGTTCTGTATACGTTAAGATTAAATGACAACCCTGCTTGATGCCAAATAAGAACAGAAATACAGCACATATACTAGCATCACAAAGACAGTCAATTACGTCTCCAACTTAAAAGATACATGGGCAGAACTAAAATACCTAGAGCTTTTGCTTATAATTGTTTGGCCTTGACCCCCTCTCTTAAGGTCCCTTTGCTGTTTGATGAGGTGACATTTTGTAGAGCAAATTTCTGGATTCAAAAGAACAGTTTACTGAGTCAAGGGGGTGCCAACTCGGCCTCAAAAGGAGGAATGGGTTGATTTTTATCTCATTCTCTTTAAACACTCATTCTGTTCCTGCTATTTCTCTCCCCAACATGCATTTATTTCTCTCATTTCTTCTGCATGCTGTTTAATCTTTTGCATCCATCTGGAGTAACCCTCCCCTGTCATCACTGTATCCTGAATCACCAGTAAGTGACATTCTTGAAGTAATAATTTAAGAGCTATTGCCATAATGCAGTCCCTGCTTCCTGCTTAAGTTTCACACTAATTTCTATTTTTTGCTCCAAAAACAAAAGGCAATGTCATCCACAACCATAATAAGATCTCCACTGCAAAGCTGTAATTATTCTTCTTTCAGGGCTTGCCAACATTTCTTTCCAAAGTGGTAGTAAAAATGTGAACAAACAAGCACATCTCACCAGTACTCTGCCTAGGAATGCTTCTGAGGCAACATCTCACAAGAAAGGTTTGTAGAAGCTGGAGAAATTTAGCATAACCTATTGCAGTTCTGGTGATTTATAGCAGTTACATTTAAAAGGCTGCTACCGGTGAGTACAAGCAGGACAAGAACAGGTGTACTCTTTCTAAGGATAAGTGATTTCATTTTTCTTCCCACTGGTCATTTTCCTCTATCTCCTCATCATTTCCACTTGCTTTGCTCTTTCCTCTTCAGCTACCTTACTAATTCAGTCTTCAATTTCTACCTGCTTATAGCTGGTGTTGCTACTACAATTTCTACCTGCTTATAGCTGGTGTTGCTACTACATGTATTCAGGATCACCCCAACACACACACTCCCCCCCAAAAAAAACCTCTGCAAGCTGTACCTTGAATACTAATCCATATAAACCACAGGATTTTCTGCATCCACTGAATTCATGCCATTTCTATTGTCTTCAGTACTCTTTTCCCCATTGCTCTTTCATTGAGATCTCCAGTGGACTCCTTGCCTTTTTCAGAACATAAAGCTATTTTTCCAGGCAGGGTATAAATAATTTTTAACTAAGTGGTATTAACTTTGGAAAATAAGATTGAAAAGCAAAAAAATGGGTGGTTAAGGCACACATTCTACTTCCAACTTGAACCCAGAGAAAATGCAGAATTTAAATTGAGAACACATAAGTTTGGCTGCTCTTGTGTGAAGATGAGAATGAAAATAAAGGAGTTTAAATTGAGAAGGCTGAGGGGAGACCTCATCACTCTCTACAACTACCTGAAAGAAAATTGTAGAGAGGTTAGTGCTGGTCTCTTCTCACAGGTGATCAGTGACAGAACAAGGGGGAATGGCTTTAAACTCCAACAGGGGAGGTTCAGACTGGACATTAGGAAAAAATTATTCACAGAAAAGAGTGTTCAGACAGTGGAGTAGGCTGCCCAGGGAGGTGATGGAGTCACCATCCCTGGATGTGTTTAAAGGTCGTTTAGATGAGATGCTGGGGGATATGATGTAGGGGAGAACTCTGTAGACTAGGGCTGATGGTTGGACTCGATGACCCCAAGGGTCTTTTCCAACCTGAATGATTCTATGAATGCAGCAAATTGTCAAGCAAACTATTTTATTAAAACAATAGCGCTGCTTTACTAGACTACAGCAGGACTGCAGGTAAAAGATCTTCTTCAACTTCAAGCTACACCAGTTGAGAACAACAATCCAATTCATTCCTTCCCTGCAAGATCCTACTATATCTGTCTCTGCAAAAGGAGATCTGCATGAGATCTACAAAATTTTACCACATCTTTCCGCATCTTCAGTCTCTAGAAAATTCCTCCAAGTCTGCTGGTTCACTGTAGTAACAAAGAAAAGTCTTACTTTTCAAATGGTGTAAAATAACCCAAATCATTTTGACCTGCAAACAAAGGGCACACAAATGACTCTGGCACAGATTATAAACACCCAACAACTCTGAACAATTTGGGGCCATACAGGCACCAGTGCCTTCTTCAATTGGAACTGGAAGATGATGTCCAGCAACCACTTAACAACTTTGTGTTAACCTGCTCCAGGAATGGATCTCCCTGTTAGAACCGTTTTATCAAACATATAGCATAACATAAAAGCAGCTATTAGAACAGCTGAATTTACCTACATGCTGATTTTTAGAAAATCCAAGAACCTACCATTTAAAAAAAGAAGGTGATCAATAGAGGCTGCCAAAACAAACAGGTACAAGGTTGCTGAAGGACTAATCAAGGCAGGAAAGAGCATGAACACATTGCCCAGACATTACACTGCACACCTTTTTCCCTCTTTTTCCCTCTTAAGGTAGTATGTTCCAAATTTACAGTTTAGTCAGCTTCCACAACCCCTTCAAATCAATATATATTCAAGCAGAGACAACAAAAGTTTACAGAATTTGCTCCTATATCCAAAGCTGCAAGGATAGTTGCATTATCCACATGACCTACTACTCTTCAGAGAATCCTCAAGAAGCCTTAGAAACAAGATGACTGGTTATTCTCTTCTCTCAGTAAACACTAGAAATAAAAGGGAAAAAAAGAGTGTAGAAGATCTAATCCCTGTGTCATGCATCATTCTTATCTTTTGGCTTGAGAAACACTAGGATTTTTCTCCAAGGTGCCTCAACAAGCACTTGGAAGTTGCAATTGCACTGTGACCTGATGAGAGCCGAAGCACTCTAAAGCTAGCAGCCCATCAATTATCCCTTCTAATCCAACCAACCTTGACAGCTATAAAGTTTCATAAACAAAGCATTTTATTACCTAACTATAGTTACTTGTAAATTAGTACTTCAAAGGTACCATCATGTTGTATAAACTTGAAAGCTATCTTCTGGATCTTCTAAAACAAAATTCAAGGAAACAGTCAAGGTCAGGTTGGATGGGGCTCTGAGAAATCTGATATAGTTATGTCCCTGCTCACTGCAGGGCTGTTGGACTAGATGACCTTTAAAGGTCCCTTACAACCTAAACTATTCTGTAATTGTATGATTCTAAACCATGATATATAGCATAAGCACAGCCAGTGTGACAATCTGATTTATAACATATTTCATATACTTGCTAAAGGATGTGACATTAACCTGTGTCGCCACCATTTGCTGTCATTAGCCTAGCACTATCTTGCTGTAGGGATGACCAAATGCTTCCTGACATGTCAACATCAAAGTGCTTACAGGACAAGGGCCGAAGGCTATAGGAATCCTGAGGGAGGAGTGGCCCATCATACCACCTTGAGCTACTGATACATCACTTGGCAACTCACCACAGATCTTTCATAGCCTCAGTCCTCTTCAAGGGAAGAGGGGAAAATGAACAAACAGAAATGGTTTCACATTTATGCTTCAGTCAACTCGTCCTTAATCTCTAACAGAGCAACCCAAGTAGACAGGAAGAAGGGATGATCACACTAGAGGAACACAACTTTTATATACCACAGCACATGTAAATGTAAATACTCCACAGTCCTGGAAGCTTCTGTGAGCAACAGTAAGCAAGCTGTACAAAGAGACGAGGATTATTCTAGCACTCCTATTTTAAAGGTGCCATTCTGTTATATCATGCAATGTTGCCATGGACTGCAGTTCTAATGGATCATCTTTCCTCACTTAAGCACTAAAGCATGCTTTCAACAAATTCAGTATTATACAGTTTAAGAAAAGTGTGACTCATGAAAAGGGACCTCCTTAAGTCATCCCCAGTCTGCTTTAAGACTGGCATAGTTCCTAAATATAAGTCATGTCCATTTGTGCTCTAACCTCCAGTGGACTTGCAAGGCAACCTTTCCGTAACATCCCTTCTAGGGACCACTAACAGTATAACACATCAATACATCTTCTCTAAAATTAAAAAGGCAACAGAAATAGTCTTGGAGCTTTCCAAACTGATTTCAAAGAGCCTTCAGCTGAGTAGCTTCAAAATGACAGTTTTGCTTTAGTCTCCCAGATTAGCATGTTAAGTCTACAAGTGTAACATTGGAAATGGCACATCTAATGTAATAAAGCAAATAGCTGCAGACATGAAATTTGGAGTTCTAACCCAACAATAAACAGAAAAACAAAACAAAACACCTCAAAGAATGCAAGAGGCTAATAAGATTGCAGCTTTGCTTTTTTAATTATTCCTTTCAAAATATCATTCAGCTATATCACACTTCTTGAATAAGCTAATGCAGCCAAAGTTCAAAGTCTCAGAAAAGAGTCAGGAGAAGAGTATACCCTTGAAAGGTCTCCTAATTTGAGTAGGAAGCAGTCTGCATATCTGTCAACAGGTCTTCATGACCAAAATACCAATTGCCTACACCAAGGAGATCAATTTGCAAAGTTTAATCAACACCTTAGTATCCTTACATATTTTTTATTCATGATTAGTTTCAATACTTATCACACAACATTCGCAAATTATCATAATACATAATTTGTAAGAGTACATATAAATATATGTATATTTGAAAACTAGCAACCCTAAAAATCAGCATGCTTATAAAAAAGAAGTCCTAACAAACATGCTATAGTACCTGCATTAAGACCCAACAGCTGTATTTAATAAACCACATTTGAATAAGCTTTAGCAAGTATAAAGGTCTCACATGTCCAATATATTTGGTCTGCACAATGACACACAAATCATTCTTGAGTCATGAGAAACACTGCTGATCTTATAAACTAAATACACTAGACAAACTTCAAATAAAGACTTAGTAAACCATTTAAGATGGAATAATTTGCTTTTGCTTTAAAAGTCCTCATGCTAAGCACAGTTTTTCCCAGTCTTTTCATTTCTTCCACCAGACCCCTTTCCTCTCTTTTCGATCCAATGCCAGACTCATTATTTCCCACTCTTTATGCATACATATCTAACAGAGTAAGGCACTCCATCTTAACATGCGTGACCTCGGTAATTCCATGGCTCCAGATCAGCCTCCTAAATCCACCCATCACATATTAGAAACAAGGTCTTAATTTGTGCTCCCTCTTCTGGCTTTACAAGCATACAACACAACCACAGTAGGGTGACACAGAGACCACTCGAACACGGCCACCACAACACTGTTTGCAGTCTCCCCTCCACAAAAAACAACACAGAGCTGTAAAGAAAGTGCTCCCGACCTGCATGTTACTGCTTGCTGCAGTGTAACACACTACAGAAATAACCTAGATTAGTATTCATGAGAGTGATTTATCTTATTTCACTGCTCAACACAAAAGACCAAGTACTCAGCTTCTAAGGATGGCACAAAAATAGCCTCATGCTAATTTTTTAAGCCCATCCTAATATTAATTTTAGCTCTGGAAAACCATCACGTGTAGCAGATCAAACAGCCCAGCACCTTCCATAAGGAAAAAAGCAGTAACATTAAAGGCTTATATTTGGCTATGTCTGGCATAAGAAGCTTTCGTTTTCAAGCTTATAATGTGTTTTAATCATACATTTATTTTCGTAATAAAAACAAGAACATTGGTTATTTATCTGTATCAACTTTGTCAAAGAACAAGAGGAAAAGGAAGGGGGAAAAAAGCCAACTGCACAGTAGCTTACTTTTCCAGCACAACGTTCTGCAGGAGAGGTCTATTTTCAGAAAACTATAGTTGCCAGTAGTGTAGCCTTCTTAAGTCATTTTGGTAGAAGCTGTCAAAATATATGTTCACTGGAGCTTTGATGGATTTGGAACACTTTAACTGGATTTATTTTACAACAAAACAGAAATTTCTGATTATTCTCTAATAAAAGTATTTGGGGAAAGTGTTGTTTGGGTGTGAAAAGAGCAAGTAAAATCACCTCTGGTTTTCTCTGGACCACATGGGATATATGCTACACAGTGGGACTAGACAGAGGCTAAGTCTGAGGAAGGCAGGGAGAAATGTGATTTAGGCATATTTGTCCACGAGGACTTGGGAATTGTTAACAGAATAAGGCAGTGTTGGAGGGAAGCTTCAGGAGCCGCTGGCCATTGGGAGCCCTAAACCTCATCTCTGCTCCGCATGACTGTGTTAGATTGTGAGAGAGTAAAAGCCACGGCTAAACACAGGAAAAGGTGCTGGAAACCAATAACTCCTTTCCTAGGCAACTGGCCCAGCTAACTACAACTACTTAACAGCCAGACATTATATTCTTCACAGCTCGATTTTTATTCTTGCATTTGCAACTAAATTCTTTCTCCTTGGAACATCCTAATGCCTGGTAGTCAAGAGCGACAGATGTTGGCTCAGACCTTCAGCCTTCAAAGGGGATATGAAATGCACAAACTCTAAAGTAGTGCAGAAATTCTGCAACACCACTGTGCCTGTTAATATTTTCTACTGGCTACTGCCAAATGGTTTCCCAGATCTGCTCATCAGGGACATCTGGTATTCTGCATTAGCCAACATGAACTGGTCTGGAACAGTCACTACCCTCACGAACATGGTGTAAATTCTCATATTTAAAGACGCTTTTTGGTGACAACAAAGTTACTTGACTCTTCTGAAGCTTAGAAGTACCAGAATTTTCAAAGATATCACATGCCATGGCAAATGGGCTCTGGAGTTCACCTACACGCCTCACCACCTATCAAATCTCGTTTGGC